TTTAACTGTTTTTTTCTTGTATTATATATTTATCTGTATATGAGTTAACAGTTCATTTCTTGTTATATATCTAATTATCTTTATAAATAAATATACTAAATTATAAGCAATTTGGTTTTCTCTCTCTAGAGAACCCTGTCTAACACACCTCCCGAGGCTGTTCTCTGCACATGTCAGGGACCAAAATCATTCTAGCTTGGAGGGCATATTGGATCATCCGGTCCTATACACAGGGCAGCCCTGGCCTTTGGTGGTAGAATCCTTGCCTCCACGGCAGGAGACCCGAGGTCAATTCCTGTGGAGGCGTGCATGTGATTACATTGCTTGTCAGGGTTGAGTGGAGCTTCTGGACTCAGCTGGACTAGGAAGAAAGGATTAGACTGGGGACCCACTGAAAGGCATTGAGCAGCAAGACAGTACGGCAGGTTCATGCTGATGAGCGTGCAGGGAGAGGGGAGGTGAGGGAGGGGGGGCCCCAAGTCTCTGGGGAGGGAGGGTTGTGGTGTGGAACAGGTTCTGAGGGCGCGCATCAAGTTTCACTGCTTCCCATTTTGGCCAAAGACCAGGTCTGAGGTTGGAGTCTATGCTGAAGGAAAGGAAGCGTTACACTCTGCGGGAACACCACAGACCCATTATTTAAGGACGACAAACCCTCCCAGGCATCCTTTGCGGGTTCTGTGGTACGGGCCAAATTGTCATGAGCTAAAAATAACCAGAGGGGGCAATCACTGGGCGCAGGGGTCCAGATTTCCATCATGTCTCATTGTCTACGTCTCAGAACAGGAGGGAGGGAGGGTGGTCCCCACACAGCCCACCCCATCCCTTATTTCAGCCTCTGTGGGGAGGAACAATCCCCTCTTCTGTTTCCCCACAAAAAATAGCCTGTCGATTTTACATATCTCTATGAGCACCCTGGTGACACAGCAGTTACATGTTAGACTGCTAACCACCAGGGATGTGGCCTGGGCGTGCCTGCCAGGTCAGCTGAGATGCTGAGTCTCAGAGTCCGTCCAAGCAACCAGCCTCACCAGGCTCTCCCCCCAGAGTTCTGCTGAGGATGCTGCATGGGGCCCCGGCCCCCCAGGGGGGCGAGCACCCAGGACGGGGCGAGGCAGTGGGGAGGACTCCTGCTTGCACATGTGCAGGGACTGGGTGTAGGGGCAGAGGAAGTTTATCTCCAGGCCCTGGGCTGTTCCACCAGCCTCTACCTGACTTCTCTCAGGGGTCTTAGCAACCCGAGTCCGGAATTTGCTCCAGAGAGCGGCCTGGAGAGGGAACACTCTTGGGTTGGAGCAGGGGGAGAGAACAAAGAGTCACCATTATTTGCTTGGTGAATGAACCGTGCTGCTGTGTGTGTGTGTGTGTGTGTGTGTGTGTGAGAGACGGGGCGGGGGATGCATGTGCTTTAGGGTTTTCAAGTAGGACAACTGTCTTTTCTATCAGAACTTAGGAGCACGTGTGCATACGCACACACGGGTGCACACACATATGCACACACTCACACTTGTGTACACCCCAC